GCTCCTCCCACGGATCCAACACTTTTTGACTGGATAGTCCCAAAGAGTACAATTCGGGCGCCAACAGTTTCCAGGGGTAGCTGTGGTGAGTAGCGTCCCAAAGGGCTCAGTTTAAGGTCCAATCTTATTCCTTGGTTTAATCTATGACTGTGTCAGGCACCTAGGCTGTCATGAAACCTTGTTTGCTGATGACATACAATTATGGAAAACGGTCCAAAATTCGGCAGATGAAAACCACCTGCAAGCTAACTTGAACACATTGGCAGAATGGTCAAAATATTAGCTTATGCTCTTCGATATAAGTAAATGCAACATTCTTCGAATCGGCACTTTTGCAGCATCCAACCTGAAGTTTTATTTTTTAAACCGTACAGCGCTGCAACAAGATGACAGTCAGAAGGACTTGGGTGTGCGGATTATCTTTTCACGCAAATCAATGTTGAACTGCACGAAGCCGGCGAAGTCAGCCAAATCTATATTGCAACTGATAAGGCGAGCTTTTATAGTTTTAAACAGGACAGCTTTCCTAGGGTATTTGGAAGATTCGGTCGGCCGCACCTAGAATTCGCTATACAGGCACTAGAGACTGGAAAGACTGAACTGCCAAAGCCTGTTCTGTCTTCGAGAAGATTCAAAAGCGAGCGAAAAAATGGGCGAAAATCTGGGAACACTGCCCTATGAAAGCACTGTCAACCTTCAAGCTATTTTCCCTTGTCTACAGGCAACTACGAGGGGATTTTCTACTAACCTTTCATATTATGAATGTCCTAGGTTGTTGCATTGTTCCAGATGATTATTTTACCCAGGCAAATACGCCCACGTTGCGGATCATCCCCTAAAACTACGCCTCGACAAAGCAAAGAACGATAGAGGTAAATTTTTCTCCAGTAACAGAGTGATTGCAGCGTGGAACGCTCTTTCCGAAGAGGTTGTCCTCTCCGCCCGTGTTAATACATTTAAGAGCAAACTGGACATGCAGCAACCCCTTATTCACCAGACATCCGCTGAGCTAAGGGACAGACATACACAGGCGTGGACACATTACACACACTTATTATACTACTCCTGCTCAGCGAGCAGTCACGTTTTGTTACCATTTTGACTAACTAACAACTGCAGTGTTTTCGCCTGCAGGTATGTAATTAACAGATTTTTTCATTTTTATTTGTATCCATATATTTTCTAGCATCTTGCTACCAATAGGAAGCTCAAAGATGTTCGCCTATCTTTCCCTCATTTAACTAATGCTGACACTGATATCGGCTTAGCAAATTCGCCAAGGATAAATGACAGACCTTTCCAACGAAACTCTGAATTTCCCGATTTATGGCTCAGAAGGGAACGCATCCAATTCAAATGGATAAGTTATAAAGATAGGTTGCAAATCACAGTCTTAAGGACAAAATGATACAGTGAGCGATTTTCCGGTTACGTTGCCTTTATTGGGTTCGTGCTTGTAAGTACTATGAGTTTCCTTCCTTCTGTAAAATATCACAGAAAAAGCTTCAAATAAAAGGGCTTTTTATTTGTATATACGGACACTCCTCTGGGTTGACACAACCGAACTTGTTTGGTTTGGTGTACGACAGGCCTCTTTTAACATATTTTACGTAACTTGGATGTCGAAAACCTGTTAGAGGGAGTCGCAAACGTTCCTTGGAATTTACCAGAGCACAATATTGTTACATAGAGTCGCTAATAGATATTCCTTTTATTTATGAGCTAAAAATAACACTATCATTTAGTGGTCAGAAAAGTTTCAAAATAATATCAATGGGATTTTCGAACATACCTCGCCCTGCAAAACCATATTCAATGCCTTTGTCTCATCTTCTTTAATCCTCCTCTGAGAAATAAATCCATCAATGTTAATATCTTCATCAGGCGAGATTCCCAGACGTTGTCTAAGGCAATCGTTTTCAAACATGAGTTGGTTAGCGTTGGATTCAGCTTGACCGGCAGCCTGACAAACTTCATCCAATTGCCGCTCTTTAGCAACGAGCTCCAGTTTTGTTGCTTTCCATTCACCGAGTGCCTCAGCTAAGCCATACTCGCCAGTTTCGTATCGTCGAATACGTTCTTCCAGTGCGCGTATTTCCTCATCTTTCGTTTCTATTTGTGTTTCGAGCTATGCATGAAACATTAGTAAATGAAATTCGAAATGAAATAGAAGTAAATTTGCCTAATGAAACCCCAAATGAAGGCTTCCATGAAAATAGTACGCTTCAAAATTTTCACATATATAAAAATACCGAATATATGCGATGTATAAAACTCACAAGTTTCATTCGACGTTCCATTTCAAATACCAAATTTTCTTTTTCTTGAAGATTTTTTTGAATTCTCTTTACCCGTTCAATTTTGAGGATCTCGCCTTCTTCCGGCCCAAGAGTTTTTTTAACTTCGCCAAGTAAGACCGTACTCTCTGAAACTTCTCGGGCGGCATCGATTAGTTGTTCTTTCAAGCGCATTATCTATTTTAAATGGTGATCGGATTTCGGAAAACTCACTTGGTCATCCTTTTCCTTCATTGTCCTGACAAGCGCATGCACACTCGTGAGATCCTTATCTATTTTTAGGGCATCCAGATCTTGCTTTAGTCGATCGTTCTCCTCGTAAAGCTTGGCATTTTCTTCTTCACGAGTAGATAAAAGCTACGTTTACAAAGTAAATCTACAGAAATCCAGGCCTTACAGCGGTCCATTCAGCTACTTTCTCATCAAGAGTTTGCATTATTTTTGAGTCAAAAAATGATATTCCGCTTGGCCCTCCTGTTATTCTTTCTAGTTCTGTCTGTAGTCGTTCACATTCGTTCTGCTTGTCTTTTAAGATATTGTCGGACGATACAAGGGCCTGCTTCATCTTCGAATAATCCTCTGTTGCCCTTTCCATCTCAGCACTGGCCTGTTTAAGTTGCGCTTCCAAATTTTTTAAGTCTTTGCGCATTTCTTGTTTATCATCCAACAGAGACTTTAAAAACCATAAAATTAAAAAAAATTACGTCAATTTCAGCCTTTTTGCTGCGAAGTTGAGAACGCAGAGACGTAAGCTCCTTACGCAAACTATACTCTTCACCAATCTTTCCGGAAAATGCCAGTCTTTCTTGCATTCGTGTGTGCATAACCTCCATTCTCTCGGAAAGCTCTCTGTTCTCTGTCAAAGCTTTAGAAAGTTTGTCCTCAAGCGTGGCCTTCGTCTCCGACAGCCTGGCGTTAGCCTGAACGGTTTTCCCCAACTCATTTTTGAGCATTTCAATCTCCTCATTTAGTTGCCCTATTTCAAGCACAGACTGATTTTGTCTTTGAAAATCTTCTCGATTGACCCCAAATTCGGAAAGACTTTTCTGCAGCTGTCCGTTTTCGGCCTCGATTTCCGCATTCAAATGCAATAACTCGTCTATTTTCTCTTCAGTATAAAAATTTTTGTTTTGCTCCAATTCAAACTGGTCTTTAAAAATGCTAGTCGCTGCACGCGATAAGTTGAAAAGGTGACGTAACTTCTCGACGTCATTCCATTCATCTACATTTTTCTATTTTTCAGTCAAGAATTGAAGAGTTGCTTACATTTTCGATTAAATTTACAAACGAATTTGCATTTTCTTTAGTTATTTTCTCTGGGGTTAAATCGCAAATATCTGGCCATTCTAGTTTGGCCATATTCATTCTTACGGCAAACTTGCGGTTCCTTCGCTAATTATTGTATACGGTAGAAACAACAAATCTTTCAAGGTCGATAGTTCAATGTAGCTCATTTAAACGCATCCCCAAAACATTGTAAGCCACGAATAGGGTATCAGTACCCTCAAAGCAAACATGCGTGAAACTGCATGCGGCAGTTAATCACACATACTATAATTTACCAGATGCAGTGGATTCCAAATTTCTGAGTCGCCTGCTTCAACCACTATCCAAAATGTCCTGCTTTACCTTTTCCTACGATCCTACAGCGCATAACATCAAAACAGACAGGGAGGCACTTGGAACATATCAATGGGTAGAATAGCGTCCTCGCGTACAATTCTATGTCGAGCGGTCCAGTCTTCTTCTCAATTACTTCCTGGGACTGGCATGTTCGCTTGTATTGGCATACAATATAGTCTCACGTACAGAAACACGTAAAAGGAACACGTAACACGTAACAGAAACATGTTATATTGAATGCGAAGTATGAATTTAAAAATAGGCATCCCGAGAAATATAATTTGAAAGGAAATGTTCCTTAGGAAACAGGAACGAATTTTATTGTAAATTTTCGGCACTGGCACACCAGACCATCATCAAACTAGAGAGAAACCTGTAAAAAATGTTGCACATTTTTAAACATGCCGAAAAATCGCTAATAATTCGTCATGTATGGTCAATAGTAGGCTTTGGTGGCGGGCGTTTTTTCAAGGCCTTTTTGAGATTTATATATATTAAATCCAAATCAACATGCGCATTGAATCTTTTCTCTCAAAAGCAATCTCCGAATTCTTCCGAAGCCTGCCTGCTTCCCGTACACATACTGATCTAAACATGCAGTTTTCTTTATAAAAAAAACTGTCTACTGATAAAGTTCACTCTTCAGATCAAAAAATTAAAGCAAATATCTGCTAATAAACCGAATCTAACCTTGATCAGAAATTACTTGCCCTGATAGGTTGAACGCGCAAAAACAAGGTTGCGGGTATGCTAAGGATGCATACAAATAATTGAATCAGACCAAAAATTCAGAAGGATGTAAGTACGAAGCCAACTCTGAAGAGTGTCATCCCAACGTCCCTGGCAAAGGTAAGGCAATACAGAGCTCGCCCACAAACCGTAATCAAAACATTGTGATAAAGGCTGTTCCAGAGTCCACGGCAGTTGGTACAACGGAACGGGTGGAGCATGATTTAGATGGTATTCATGAATATATTAGTGAGGTCCCGAACGATGGGACAATACTTTTTGTCAAAAACGTTTTCCGTCTGGGCAAAGTAGACCCAGGCCGCGACCTGCAAACAAACCCAAAGCCTCTCAAAGGTATCTTTCGTAAAGAAGCACAAGCATCGAATCTGCTAAGAGGAAAAACATCCTTACGAATTTCGTAAAGGCAAGTGCTTTTTCAACCAGAATACGAGCCGAGAGAGCAGGTGAAGTTAAGGGAACTAAGGACAGAAGTCAGAGAAATAAATGGCAGCGGAAAAGGACTGTAAATCAAAGACGGCCAAGTAATCTAACTAGAGCAGTTATTCCTCTATCCAAAACCTGCGATGATGAAGGCTGGGTCTCACCGAGGAAAGGATCCCTGAAGATCCTATCCGCAAACGTGCAAAGCTTTTTCAACAAGCTGCACGAACATAAAACCTGGTTGATGGGGTGAAGTCGGACATTATCGCCTTCACTCAAACCTGGTTTCGACAGATA